TGGCTTTTCCGGGCTCCATGTACCCTCTTTTTTTCCCTTTTCTCTTGTTTTCCAATACCCCCACAGCCAGTCATGACATATGTCTGTGCCCCCGGGCCCGATTTGCCAGGGGTTTCCTTCTCTTAGACGGGAGTTTTTCTTTCCCACCATTGCATAGTGCTTACTCAGCAGGGACCATTTGATTATGAGGGTTTTTCGAGAGAATCTCTACCTTACAGTATAAAACACCTTGAGGCAACTGAATAAACCTAAACTGAACTGAATATTAAACACACAATGCTTTGCTTACAAAGGAAATATATAAACATGACGTGAAGTCAGACCCACCAGATACAATGGTGGTCCAAACGCTGGACACATGAGCCACAGGTTCGACAATGACCAGCCCGCGGTGGTCGCATTATTTTGCACAAAGGACACCTGCTCCACTTTGCTCCGAGGCCCTCCTTTGGGGTTTGCAGCTCTGCTGGTGTCCCTGAGGGAGAGGCTGCTGATTGGAGAGATCCATTATTTACTTGTGTGGACTCCTTTTTATCCTCCTGACTGTGAGAGTTGTGAAGGGCAGCAGTCACAAATCCTGGGCCTTTCTTGGTGTGAATAAGAGAGACTATAGTGAAGATCATCCCAGAGGTCACGGTGCACACCTGCAGCTGGCTGACGTCCCCACGCGGTAAAATCTCTGTGATGAAGAGGTAATACATGTAGGCCAGAGAGTACAATGCGAGGGTGAGGAAGAAGAGGGTGCGTCTCTTCTTTCGGTGCGTTGCATAGTAGTACCACAGCACCAGGCCAGGCAGAGCTGTCAGGACGGTTATACCCAGCAGGTAGTGCAACGCTGCAACCTTCAGCAGGAGAGGCAGCATCAGCAGGGCTGGGATCAGGGAAATTTCCAGATTTTCAGCCATGGCACCAAATACAGGATACTGAAATGTACTTTTAGATGGTACTTTCAGCCACCTACAGAGAACAGTGGTCATAGAGTTATAATTAGACAAATGTTTATTCATGTGTCTAATCATTTCCCTTTTCACTGATGGAATTTATTTTCAAGTTCTTGAGCTGCATGCAAGGTAAAATGATTTCATAGTTGGCTTTTTCAGGTTTGAGACATACACGATAGTTTGCTTTGACTCTAGAATAATAGGAAAGATAAGATATGACTTTTGCATTCTCAGGTAATCTCAGAGAAAACTTTTAGAGCCGCTCTAACCGATAAGAGGGGCCTGCCAAATAAAAAAGGAATAAAAAAAGAAAGAAAGAATGATATGTGTCCTCCTTTTCTCTCTCATTGTGAATTTTGGCACATTTTAGGAAGTAAAGTTAATTGTTTGTGGCAAATTATTAAGAATTTACATAATTCAAAAATCTAAATAAAAAAATAACAGCATCCTGCTACAAGACTTAATATGATAATATAATAATTCAGGTATCACAATAAATATATGGTAAATTTGCATCTTTGGTTTTCTCTTTGAAAGTTTGATTCATTTTATTAGAAGTCAGTAGACTCCCTACCAACACAGCTAAGGCTCATCTCGATCTTATTTATCTGTGCAAAACAAAGAAGAAGAAAAAGAAAGAAAGAAACTTCATCTGTTTCTCGGCCGCGAGACATTGCCAGTAAACCAGTGTGGGTGCGTGGACTATTTCCAGTCTTAAAGCTAAGCTTGTTATCCAGCTGTTGGCATTCGTTTCATGTTTCATTGACAGACATGAGAATGGTATCACCTCCTCTCGCTTTCTTTAGAAAGCCAATAAACTAATAGCATAAAATCTCACACTATTTTCTGCTTCCTTTGTATCTGGTTTGTGTCCAACCTTTCTTAGTGCTCACAAACAACAGCTACTTGTGTAGCTTTCTAACAACAGTACTACACATACAGCACACACTCCTTGATTATTAGTTTATTCACCCATTTCTTCACACCTTCATACCTGTTAAAGGCTTCATCCAGATCCTCGCAGTCACAGCAACATCCGTACTGGTAGAGATCGCATTCACAGCAACAAATAGGATCATCTGGCTCCGGTGGCTTTAACTTCTGCCATTGCATAATGGCCTGCTAAAGATGGACATTTAACAAAAAAAGGTCATTGCATGCCACAGATGTCACAGTTACAGCGTGTCATGATCAATAAAAACTATCCAAACAAAGACCCTTTATTGATTCCTTGTTTCCTTACGTGGCCTTGAAAGACCTCACAATTAACTTGCAGTGCACAGAGAAAAGCAAACATGCTCACACACACACAGCTCTCACCCCAGCTTACTGGGCTCTAAGTAGGTTGCTTTTGAGAATTAGCAACAGTGCTGACAAATCCAGGATCCGTTTTCAAGATTATATTTTTAATACAAGAAATTACAAAAAGTTTTAAACACCTATTACAAAAAATATGCATAAACAAGTGCAAAAGATAAGTAAAAACAAAAAATATAATCAGAATCAGCTTTATTGACCAAGTACTCTGGCTATTTCTTTACTCTCAATATACATACCAGAAAAGACACCTGGCAATGTAGAACAGCACGTAGAGCATATTTGTGTTCATACTTGTTGATGCTATTAATACTGTAACAGCACATTTATATTTAGATTATATATTAGAGTAAAAAATACAGTATTAAACGGATTATAGCAATGCGTACATGACCTGTACTTGTAACTCTAAAAGATCCCTGTTTTAAAAAATATATAATTTCCATAATCAGAGTATTCTCAGTCTTATTATGTCCCCAAGAGCTTCTAATGTAATTTGTTGAAACAAGGCCACGGTGTCCGCAGGGACAAACTATCTGGGCCAGCAAACCGAAGACTTAAACTCTCTGAGATGTCTTTGAGTTATTGTCTGTGTGAGTTATTACATTAGTCTGATTTGTATCTGTGGTTATAACCTTATTATGTGGCATCTGACACATAGCTATACAGGGATTTCCAGAAAAAAATAATTTTAAAGACAAAAATAGTTATTGCAATCTGAGTTTGTCTGCTAAAGATCATTATAATTCAGAAATAACTTAATTAGCACTATCTAACACTTCTAGGTGTTAACTGTTAATAAGGGACACTCACAAAGAAAAGATTTATTGTGTTGACTTACCTTTTGTCTCCAATGCAAAAACACAAAAACAGCAAGCTACGTTGGCTCAAAAAAATTCACAGTTTCTACACGAGAGCTACGCCATCCTCAGCAAACAATGAGGAGAGAAATGCTTAAGAAGATGACCCCTTGTCACCAGGCTCCTTCTGCAAGTGACTGAAGGGGAAAAAATGAAAAGCGCAGCCTAGTTTCTCATCAGTCATTTGTGATGAAAAAGGAAATTGGCATGTCCCTGCCCCGATGGTGCTGTGGCGACACCGAATCAGTGCAGTGAGATGGTTTTCATTTCTTGCATTCCCATGGTGGAAGCGTCCCAACAGAAGGCAACTTGAAGTCCTGACAAGTAGCTTGATATTGTGTTGCATCTGCCAGCTCACATTTCCAAAGACTATCTTTCTCACATGTCATTAAATAGTTCACAAGTCGTTCTCGGGGATACTCAGCCTGCTTCTGCCTTACAGCTTCCATCAGCTATCATTTTAGATTTTAATACTGGCGTGCTTGGCAAATATAGGCCCTCCCTCATTTGGTTGAGGGAGCCAGAGAGAGCCAGGAGTTTTTCATACCTCTGCCCACAGCTGAGAGGCTGTGTTGAGGTATTCAAAAGCTGCAACAGCAGCCCTGATAATCCACGCTGAGCCGAACGAGGGTGCGTATGAGAAACATGACAGGCACTCAAAGATGAGAGACTGAGCGATGATCCACGGGGCAGCCCCACCCTCTGGCATCATATTTCCTCCCACAAGCAACCTGACCTTGAGGCTCACCCACCGAAAACTCTCGAAGAGTGCATTTGTGCGAGATCAAAGGCGCACGGGAGGCCTCTGTGTTTACGCTCATTAAGCCCTGCGCTGTACACATTGCACTCTTCGTGCGACAACACTGGATACCGACACTAACGGTGCGCTCAGTGACCCATGCAGGGAAGTTCTCTTTTCTCACCTGGAGCCAAGGTCCTTATTCACATCAGTTACAACACATGTTCATGCTTATGAACACTTTAGCGGACAGTTTATCCAACTTGAGCTTGATCTGGGTCACTCTGCAGCATAAACCAACTTTAAAATGAAATGCTGTTGCAGCTCAGTGAAAGGGGAAACACTGGAACCGGAAAGACAGACGTTAGGACCCATAAGATATCTTATCAGAGACAAAATAGCCAGTATGACCTTTACTAAGAACAGTTTAAATAATGAAATAATGGTTATCCTGTTTTCAACGTGGCAAAACAAAAGGTTAGACATGCCTTGAAAGTCCATGCCACTTTCGCTTGCACATAAGCAAATCCATTTACAGTTTTGTTAATGTCCTCTTTACACACACTGCCCCATGAATCATTACTAATTCAAGAATAAGAGAAAGAGGGGCAGGTGCATTATGAGCTATAGGCTGGTAGTGTCTGCACTGGATGGACAGAATCAATGCAGAGAAAAGCTGCTGCTCTTTCTCCAGCGGGTTACGCTTCCATTAGTCCTAATGGAGCCCGGAACCTGAGATAGCGACTCTAATCTATTTTAGAGGGTTTAATGCTAGAGAAATACACTGAACCAACAGTGAATGCTGAAGATTGTGCATCAGCAAACTGCTAAGATGCTGATAATGCAGTATGACAAATAAATGTAATAATCAGTCCATCTCCTTGTCGTATATTTTGTATATTTGTGCTCTAATGTACTAAAGCATCACATATCGAGTTAAGATGCTTTCAAAGAGAATAACATGAATTCTCTTTATTTGTCAACTGACAAAGAGAAAAGAAGAACCAGTTTTTCGTTTTACTTTGCAGGTAGTTTGCTGCAAACATCATGGAAAACCACTGATGCTTATAGTCAATTCTCGATCCTTTTTAGAGGATAACAGTGATCCCGGCCAATTCTTCTTTGGTAAATCTCTCAAGTTCCTCTAGATTTGATGATCTTCTGTCATGGTCTTCAGTTTACCCCACAGATTTTCAACAGGATTCAAGTCAGGGCTTTGTGCAGGCCAGTCAGTAATGCTCATTTTGGTCTTTCGAAGGTAGTTCCTCACCAGGAGCGACGTATGTTTTGGGTTGTTGTTGTATAGGAAGACTAAGTGACTCAGATTTGTGGCATCTGAAACTGGCATATCCTCCATTTCCAGATGCACTGAAGCATTCCCACAGCATAATACTCCCACAACTGCTTTTCACTGTGGGGATGGCCTTCTTTGTGTTGTATGCTTCTCCCGTCTTTCTAAAAATATAAGCAGCATCTCTGTGGCCAAAGAGCTCTAGTTTCTTCTCATCTGACCAAAGAACTTGCTTCCAGTATAGATAGTTGTTCTCCAGGTTCTTAGCAAACTTCAGTCTGGCTTGAAGGTGTCTCATGTGCAAAAGTTGAGTTTTTCTTGGTCTGTAGTCTTGAAATCCATTCCTGCACACAGCTCTGGTGATTGTCTTCTTTAAGACTACAATTTCCAACTTGGCTAAGTCATTCACATGTTTTTGAAGTTGTTCTGGGGTCTTTAGACACGTTTCTCACTAGTTTTCTTTCCAGAGTCACACTTGTTCAATACTGTGTGGCTCTCTTTGAATTCCTTGATTATGCTTCTAATTCCAGTTCTTGACACTTGATAACTTTATATATACAACTCCTAGTTTGTGAGCATCAACAATTCTTTTTCTCAAGTCTAAACTGATTTCTTTGGTTACTGTTACGATTACGTTTTCTTCAGTGACAGCTCAAACCCTCACTGAAGTTTTTATACTTTGTGTAAACTGGAAGACAACCCGTTTGAAACTCAGCACATCATTACACAACACTGGTTTGTGCTGTGGTGACAAAAT